GACGGGCACAGGGGGCCGGGCCGGGGTGCTGGGACGGGCAGCGCAAGGATGGGGCTGCCCCAAGGGGAAAAAACGTGGCCAAGGACACCCGGCACGGGCGTGGAGAGGATAGGAGAGGATGGGAGAGGATGGGAGAGGATGGGAGCGCGGCGGGCACGGAGCATCCCGGGGAACGAGGGACGGGACGGGAGGAAACGGCCTCAAGTCCCACGGGGAGGGGTTTAGGTTGGACATCGGGGAAAACTTCTCCGTGGAAAAGGTTGTCCAGCCCTTGTTGCCCGTGTTGCCCAGGGCAGGGATTCAGTGCCCGTGCCTGGAGGGGTGGGTGGGATTTCTCTCAGACCCTGGTGCAGCTCCTTTGCCCCAAAAACCCGTTTATTTCCTTCACAACCACCCGCACTCCCCCCAGCTCCTTTTGGATGCGTTTGCTTCACACTTCACCTCTGGAAACGCGCTGCAACTCCCATAAAAAAATTGGACCGGGGTGTTTTGGGGCGAGAAAAACCAAACCCCAGGACAGCAAACCCCCCCCTGATTTTTTTTCTGTTTGTAGGAGCGATGCTCCTTTCAGGAGCTGTGGGCGCAGGGGTGGGATCCCTGATGCTCACGGGCAACTGAGCAGCTCCAGCAACAAAAAGGAATTAAAAAAATCGAGTTTAATGCCTCCCTTAATAAAATAAAAAATAAAATTAAAATAATTCAGCTCTCCCAACGGGCCCGGCTGGCAGCCGATGCACTTGCTCCCCTTTCCACGGGCACGAGCTGGGATTCCAGGCGGGTTAGTCACCCCGTCACAAGCGCTCCCGAGCGCGGAAAAAAACAAATTCAGGGCGGCAAATCGAGGAGAAGAGGAGCTTTCTGAGCCCGTGCCTGGGCTTGTGCAGCTCCGGGGCGGCCGCAGCGCCCCTGGGATGCGCCGGCTGCTGATGTGCATCCGGAAAACAGCGAGGTTGCATCTCCACCTCTCCCTCAGCTGCCTCAGGTTTGGTGCCTGAGCCCCCCCCCCTTTGCTGCGGCACCGAAACAGCCCCGGGACCCGAGCGAGGCGAGTTCAAACACTCTTTGATCTCCTCCTGAGACTCGCGGTTAAAAAAAGGCACTTGAAAAGAAGCATTAAAAAAGGCACTTAAAAAGCAGCTCGAGGAGTCGTGGAATCACAGAATCACAGAATCACGGAATCACAGAATCACAGAATCACAGAATCATGGAATCACAGAATCACAGAATCATGGAATCAGCTGGGTTGGAAGGGACCTCCCAGATCATCCAGTCCAACCCTTGATCCAACCCCGCCGTGGTTCCCAGCCCGTGGCACTGATGCCACATCCAGTCTGGCCTTAAACACCTCCAGGGATGGAGAATCCACCCCTTCCCTGGGCAGCCCATTCCAATGGCTGATCACCCTCTCTGCAAAGAAATTCTTTCTAATATCCAACCTAAACCTCCCCTGGCACAGCTGAAGACCCTGAGCCCTCTTGTCTTGCTGAGAGTTGCCTGGGAAAAGAGACCAACCCCCCCCCGGCTCCCCCCTCCTGTCAGGGAGTTGCAGAGAGTGAGGAGGTCTCCCCTGAGCCTCCTCTTCTCCAGGCTGAACAGCCCCAGCTCCCTCAGCCTCTCCTCACAGCACTTGTGCTCCAGTCCCTTCCCCAGCCTCGTTGCTCTCCTCTGGACCTGCTCCAGGACCTCAATGTCCTTCCTGAGCTGAGGGGCCCAGAGCTGGACACAGCACTCCAGGGGTGGCCTCACCAGTGCTGAGTCCAGGGCAGGAATCACTTCCCTGGACCTGTTGGTCACACTGTTCCTGATCCAGGCCAGGATCCATTGGCCTTCTTGGCCACCTGGGCACACTCTGGCTCCTGTTCAGCTCCCTGCCACTCCGCTCCCTCCCAGGGGAGGCTCCTCCGGGTGCTCTGCCCGGCCACAAACTCCCCTCCGTGTCCCGGGGCAGGGAGCGAGGATCAGCCTCTCCATGAACACCCCCGAGTGCCCAAATCCACGGAGATGCTCCGAGGGCTGGAGCCCCTCTGCTCTGCAGCCAGGCTGGGAGAGCTGGGGGGGTTCACCTGGAGAACAGAAGGATCCAGGGAGACCTGAGAGCCCCTTCCAGTGCCTAAAGGGGCTCCAGGAGAGCTGGAGAGGGACTGGGGACAGGGGATGGAGGGACAGGACACAGGGAATGGCTTCCCAGGGAATGGTTTAGATGGGATATTGGGCAGGAATTCCTGGTTGTGAGGGTGGGGAGGCCCTGGCACAGGTTTCCCAGAGGAGCTGTGGCTGCTCCTGGATCCCTGGAAAAACCTGGCCCATGGAAAGAGGAAAGGGGCTGGGACGAGACCATCCTTAATCTCCCTCCCAACCCATCCCAACCCATCCCGGGGTTCTGGGATCCACCCAACCACACACAGCAGAGAGAAGAACCTTCGAGTTCATGGAAACGAGTCTTTATTATTAAGTAACTTCTTTTTTTTTCTTTTTAATATCAGAAAAATAAAACTCTTATAATTTCTCTTTACAGCAAATATAGAATAATAATAATAACAATAATTATAATAATATCAGTGCTTTGGCCGTCGTTAAGTTAAAGGCCCATTTATCATAAAATATATATTTTTTTTGTTGTTTTTGTTTTTTTTTCTTCTTCTTCTTCTTCTCCTCTCTTAAACTTTATACCCGAATCGAATTTTTTTTTTTTTCAATAATCCCTAAGACCTCCCGACCTACGCGTAACAAAAAAAAAAAAAAAAAAAGTGTAGCAAAAATTAGCAAAATGCTATAAACTTCTTAGACTCGATGCTCCGTCGTCCCCAAGCCCGTGGTGGTTTTATAGGAACAGTTCACGCGACCCCACGGCCTCTCGTGGGGTCTCCTTGGCTTCATTATTCGCAGTAAAAACGCAAAAAAACGTGCTCGTGAGGGCCCGGTTTTTGCAGCTACGTGGGAGCAGGTTCCCCGTTCTCTCTCTCTCTCTCTTCTCTTCTTTTTTTCGTGCTGAAAACCGTTAAAATAAAACCCCTTTTTTTTTTTAAATAATTTCGGTTCGGTTTTTTTTTTCACCTGTAAACTTTTCCACTGAACGCAGCTCTCAGAGTGGAAATAAAAAACAAAACTTAAAATGAAATTTCTGCGCGTTTCTTCGTGTACAATTAGTACGATTTTCATTTATTTTGCTCTTTTTTTTTTTGCATGCGGGGGTTTTTTTTTTGTTCGTTGGGTTTTTTTTGTTTTGTTTTCTGGTTTTTTCTTGGCCGTGCCGAGGAAGAAAATAAAAAAAAACCCCTTTTTTTAAAAAAAAAACACAACAAACACCTGTATTGGGGGGGAAAACGCTTCCCTAAAAAAAAAAAAAAAAATTTATTCTAAAATAACAATTCTAAAAATAATAATTCTAAAAAAAAAAATTTCTAAAATAACAATTCTAAAAATAATAATTCTAAAAAAAAAAATATATAATTCTAAAAAAAAAAATTCCGCGGGAACTCCGCTTTTTGTCTTTTTTTTTTTTGTTTGTTTAAAAAAAAAATTGGCCAGAACTCCACTTTGTGCCTTTTTTTTTTTTTGTTTCTCTGTTTGTTTTTACTTTTTCTGTTGTTTTAAGGAACGCCAGCACAACAGATTTGGGAACACGCAACTCCCCCCCTTTTTTCTTTTTTCCTTTTTTCCTTACCAAAAATAAAACATTTATATATTTATATATTCGTTTATACATGTGCAAGACGGGTGTGGGTGGGACAGGAAGAAGAGGTTTCTTCACATTTTGATCTACGGGCTCCCCCCCAAAATTAAAAAAAAAACAACCCAAAAAACCCCAAAATAAAGGTAATTTGAAAAGACAAAGGGACAACCAGGGAACGGAATGTCAGCACCCTCAACCTGAAACCCGGGATCCTCCGGGCGGGAATTCCCAGCAAGGGATCCTCCAGGCGGGAATTCCCAACCCAGGATCCTCCAGAAAGGAATTCCCAAACCAGGATCCTCCGGGCGGGAATTCCCAGCCCGGGATCCTCTACACGAGAATTCCCAACCCGGGATCCTCCAGGCAGGAATTCCCAACTTGGGATCCTCAGAGCAGGAATTCCCAACCCAGGATCCTCCGGGCAGGAATTCCCAACCCGGGATCCTCTACACGAGAATTCCCAACCCGGGATCCTCCAGGTAGGAATTCCCAACCCAGGAT